GGAAGAGCTCAGGGCAGCTGACGAGGACCATCTCACCCACGTGGGCAGGCTTCCAACACGTGATGTTGTCCCACATCCCAGGGCAGCCTGCGGGGAGGACAGCTGGGGTGGGCATGGGCCCAGCCACACACACATACACTGGGCACATACACACATATGCCACACACTCATGAATACCACACACACACACACACACACACACATACACACATACTACATACATGAATAGACCACACATGCAGATACCACACACATGCATGCACCACACGTGCATACAAATACGCCACACATGCATCAGACACACCTGAACCTCACATGTATGCACACACCACATAAGTACACATGCAGCACACACATACACAGACAACACACACACATACAGGTATGCTCACTGGTCATAAGCCCAGCCCTGCAGGGGTGGGGAGCTGTCTCAGGGGAGGCAGTCTCCCATGTGATGGAGGGCTCAGCCTGCATCAAGAAGACCCCTCAAAGAGCAGTGGAGACCCGAGCCACCACTGCGGCGCACAGACAGCCCTCACCTGGTCTTGCACCCACTGGCCCACAGCACTGCAGCCCTGGCAGGAATGTGGGGAGAGGGAAGCACTAGGGCTGGGGGGCTGGGTCCCTAAGATGAGGTCAGGGGTCTTCACGGCAGCCTCCCACATGACCCACCCCAACTCCTCCCCCCTCCCAGCCCTCTCATCCCTCCTGCAGCCACCACCATGGAGTGTCCGCATCAGCTCTGCCTACACAGCTCTCCTCCCTTTCCTGGGGCAGAGGAGCAGGGCCTGGCCAGCCTGAGGCTTCCCCAGGGCAGGCCTGCGGCAGGGAGCTGGCACCTACAGGAGGAACACCAAGTCACACCTCGCAGGCAGCAACCCCCGAGAGCCACGGCTGGCAGTGGGAAGGAGCTCAGACAGGAAGGTGTGTGAGGTAAGACAGGGTGGAGGCCACTGCAGTGTCTCAGGCCGGATTGATGGAGGGGACAGGAGGGGAGGGACAGTCCCAAAGGAATGTAGGAATCATCACTGGGGGCTGGTTGGACGTAACCATGAGGAAGAGGCCAGGTCAAGCTTGACACCCGGATTTTCAGATCTGAGGGTCTCAGAAGTCCTTATGACTCCCTGCTGCCTTACACTCTCCCTTCCCCTGCCGGCCCCTCTATGGGACCCCCTGCATGCCCCACTGCCACCTGCCCTCATGCTCTGCCCCTGCTCCTCGGGCTCTGCCCCTGCTCTACACTGAAATGCCTCTCATCAAGGTCACCAGAGTCCTCTTTGCTGCCAAATGCAGGGAACAACGTCAGCGCTTACCGGGTCACCCTGGCCACCCTGACAGAATGCAGGTGCTGGCGGCTGCCCTGCCCTTGGCCGCCTGCCCTGCTCACCTAGCACAAGCTCATCCTGCTCATAGACTTAGAACTACTCGTGGACACCCCCAGCCCTGGGCCCCAATGCCCTCCCTGGCCAGGCCCAGGGCAAGTTGTCTGCCGGCCATCGCCACCTTGTGGGCGGAGACAAACGAAACTCAGTGTCCGGGCCTCAGCTCAGCCTCTCCTACACCTGACTGTCCTGGCCCAGCTAGAAGCCTGGGAGCCGCCCTCACTTCATCCTCCTCCTCCACATCCCGCATCCAGGGCTCTGTTTCCACCTCCCAACATCTGTGGGATCCACACCCTGCTCTCTCCCCTGCACCCCATCTAGTTATGCTCATTGCCATTCACTGGGACCATGGTTCCAGCCTCCCCCAGGGTCTCCTCCCTCAGCCCCCACACAGCTATGGCTGAAAGCGTCTCAACATGAATATCCAGCTGAGGCATGCACTCCCCACCAGCACTCAGGGCTTCTGGGGCTTTTTATCATGGCACCTGCAGCCCCTGCCCTCCACCCCACCCCACGGCCCTGCAGCTCACTCGTCACTCCAACATAGGGGTAGTGGTCGAGGCCGTGGGAGTTCACCCAGGGAAAGGACGTGAAGTGAGAAGAGCGTGGAGCAAGCCCAGGGACCCCCCTATATGCAGGTGGACCGAGAAAGCATATATATTGGTCCAATCAGGAGAGAGCTGGGGTGGTGTGGAGGCAGGAGTGACCTGAAAATGGATGATAAAGCTGGGCTATCAGAGGGCTCCTGTACCCTCCATGGGACACTGGTGAATGACAATTGTTGCCATGATTCAGGTTTCCTCACACAGCAGAGCTGGAGGTCTTTCATTTTTGAGAGACCAGAGCTCGCATCTGTAACAGACTCACCTAAGACATGCTGGTGCCGGGGGGATGGCAGGGATGGGGGATTAGGACTGTCTACCAAGATTATGCCCCGCCCTGCCCATGGCCCAGGAAAACTTAGACTTCAACTACCGCAACTCTGGGAGCCTCCTGATGCCTCTTCGTGGCCCAGCCTGGGGCTCCAGGGGGAGTCCCAGGGGCAATTCCTACAGCCCCAGCCAAGGCGGGATGCCCCGAACCACACTCCATGATCCCAGGACCTCACAGGGCTGTTGTGAAGATGAAAGAGTTCATACATGTGAAGTCCTCAGAATACGGCTGGGTTCACCCGATGCGTGCCCGCTGCTGTGACCAGCATGGACTTCGCTACTTCTATTTGCGAGTCATTCTTTTGAATGACTCCCGATGGGGAGATGAGGCAGAGACCTTCGAGATGAGCGGAAAGGCTGCTGGAGGGCCGCTGGCAGGTCCCAGGAGACGTCTGGGCAGGTCTGGGCAGGGAAGGGCCCTGGCGCAGGCCTCATGAGCGCCTGGTCTCTCTGCTGGGGTCCGTGACTTTTGAGTGCTGTCTGGACCAGAGGCATCTACAGCTTCTAGGTGTGGAACACCGTATCTCAGAATCTGAGCCTTCCTATGTTGGAATTCAGACCCAGACAATGGCCTAAGCACCCTGCTCATGAAATGACAGAGGCTGGGAACCGCGAGCCCCACACAAGCTCTAAGTACAACACACCACAAGGCAAGGATGCTGAGGGCCAGATGGGCAGAGCCAGGATCCAAGCTCATGGGAATAAGCTGGTTATGGACTCCTCCCGCCTAGCCATTACAGAGGACGCCCAGCCGGCAGACAGCTGGCCCTGACACCATGTCCTTGAAAGAGACCCAAGAGCACATCTTTAGCCGCCACGCCCATGTTGACTGTGGAACGGTCGTGTAGCGTGGCAGCGTCTGGCCCTTCCTGGGAGCTCCAGCCAGCAGATGTTCCCTTAATGTGGAACATTAGACCCTGGCATGGACAGCTGCCATTGCCAGCTGACACTGAAGAGGCTACAAGGCCATCATAGACTGAATGAGTGGGCCCTGAGGGCAGCGGGGCAGGCAGGGATGCAGGGACCAAGCAGAGGAGGTGCCAGGGGTGAGGGGACTTGACATTGGAGGCCTGGGGGCAGGGCAGGGATGCATTCCCTTCGTGACTCTTTACTGAGCACTTACCATGTGCTAGGGCCATTTAGGCACCAGGGCTGCCACAGTGTGGAAAACAAAGCCATGATGTTTACATGTAAGGGCAGAGCAAAGGGAAAGGGCAGGGTCTCCCCATAGCATCTGCACCCAAAGCCTGAAGACCGAAGCTCTGGTCTCCTGCCACGAGCTCTCTGCAGGACTTGGGCCAGTTGCCACCCCCTCCCCCATGACTCACATTTGCTTGTGTGCTTGGCGGGGCTGGGTGTCTTTGAGTTTTGAGTGACCAGAGCTCACATCTGCCACAAATTCACCCAAGGCCTGCGGGTGCCAAGTGGGTGGCAGGGGCGGGGGATTAGGGCCGCCTTTCCAGAGGCACCCGCCAAGATTCCACCTCCCCACCCCCAACCCAGGCCTGGGAATGGTTAGGATTCAACTATCACAACTCTGGAAGTTCCCTGGTCCCCCCTTAGCGGCCCAGCCCGGGTCCCCTCCAGAGTCTCAGGGGTGGTTGCTACAGCACTCGGACAGGGAGGAGGAAGCCCAGAACAACACCCCATGATCCCAGGGCCCAAATCCCAGAGCCTAGGTTTAAAGGACAGCATTCCTGACCCTATCAGGAGCTCAGAGTCCTCAGGTGACCTCTCTGCCTCTGTCACTGAGGTCACAGGAGACTCGGTACATCCTGGGGGCTTCCCAGAATGCCCTTGGTCATTTCTCCTGCAGTTACCTACTGCCTAAGCCAGGCCAAAGTGAGACCTCCTCTGGCCACAGGGCCCTGAGAGCCGAATCCTCCTGGGACCCTTTCCTGGGAGCTTGTGGAGGAGGATGTGAGCTGGCCTCCTGAGAAAGCCTTGGGTTTTCTTTTTCTTTTTTCTTTTTCTTTTTTTTTTTTTTTTTTTCGCACCGGATCTGTCGTTTCGGGTTGTGACAGGGCTCTGGGTCTGGCCTCCAGGTGAGCTGGAGTGAGCCCAGGTAACAGGTGTGGAAGTTGTCGGAATGAAGATGGAGTCATCTGTGTTAGCTTAGACGGACCCTGACTACGTGGAGCCAGAGAAGGCCGTGACGGGAGGGGATGGCACGTGTGCCTAGTAACAAGAGCTGTCACAGGGCTTTTCCTGGGGACACAGCCCTCGGCATCAGGCCCGAGCCTGTGAGAAGGAGGAGGAGCTGGGCCTGAAGACCCACCAGGAGAAGCCCGAAGGAGCAGGACTGTCAGACATGATTTCAGCACAAACCCTAGAGAGCCGAAGGACACTGTAAGAAGAGCCAATACCGCGAACTTTATTTCTGGCCAAGATGATGGCAGGGAATTGTGAAAACAGATGAGGTCAGGAAACCCCGCCTCGGCAAGGCAGGACGCGCCCGCACCCCGGGAGAAGGGCTAAGAGCGTGGAAGGGCGAACACAAATGGAGAATGGCGAGGCTTCTTCTGCAAGGCGGGCCATCAACCCGGGTTTTACTGTCTGAGGAAACCGCAGGCTTCCAGGAGCGGGGAGGCGGAGCACTGTCTCAGGTTGGCGATGGCCGTGACATACTGTGCTCCCAAGTGCTTCTCATACGTGTTTTTGCCCTGGGGGGATGGCCACGTCGCAATCCCTTCTCCTCCATTCTCCTCTCGGGATCTTGGGCACGCACGCACATACACCCGGCGTGAGTTTAAGCCACCGGGTCTGGGACTCA